TACATTGTTCCAAAATTTTGTGTACCAGGCAAGTTGAAGAATGTTACTGATTATAAACAACGGAAAACGATTGTTCTGGGGCATAGCTCAATAGCTCAATGACAAGTGTACGCATTGGGTTCATCCCCATCACTGAAAAATAAACAAACAAATATGAAAAAGATATATCTAATAAGTAAAATACCTGGGCCTGGGTTTCATCTTTCACTGGGCAATAGAGATTTGCTGTAAAAGACAATACTAAAATAATTAGGGGCTGGAGAGACGGCTCAGTGGTTAAGAGCACTGACTGCTCTTCCAGAGGTCCTGAGTTCAAATCCCAGCAACCACATGGTGGCTCACAACCATCTGTAATGAGATCTGATGCCCTCTTCTGGTGTTTCTGAAGACAGCTACAGTGTATTCATATATAATAAATAAATCTTAAAAAAAAGAAATAAAATAATTAGAAAAATGTGTCTGTATAGTAAATGTTAGTATCAATGTTGAGTTTATTTTTTTATTGTACTGTGAATTATGTGTGTGAAATAAAGTAACAAGAGTCTTTTTACCCTCTTCCTGGCATGTATTTCTAAAGTCCTTGGCAGACACCCAACCATCGTATGCTGCAAAAGTCAGTGAATGCTGCGTGTGTGGGAAAAAAATTCCATATGGAATCATTATCTGTCTGTTGAACGAGAGATTGGGGCGGCATGTATTTTCCTGTATATCTTCTTTCTTCTTGGAGAAAACTGCTGAAATGATTAAAGATAAAGGAACATGATGTTTAAAACTTATTCTAAAAGAGGGTTTTTTTTTGTTTTGTTTTTTGTTTTGTTTTTGTTTTTTGAGACAGGGTTTCTCTGTGTAGCCAGGGCTGTCCTGGAACTAGCTCTGTAGACCAGGCTGGCCTCAAACTCAGAAATCCACCTGCCTCTGCCTCCCAAGTGCTGGGATTAAAGATGTGCACCACCACTGCCCGGCAAAGAGTATTAAAAAAAAAAATGTGTGGAGTAGGACTGGGGTGTTGACTCAGCAGGTAAGATGCTCATCCAGAGGACTCAAGTTCGATTCCCAGCACCCACATGACACTTCACAGAAGTCTGTAACTACAGTTCCAGGAGATTCAAAGCCGCCTTCTGGCTTCTGCATGCATTGCATCCATATGGCATGTGGGGCACAAACATACTTGCAGGCAGAAACATATATACATACATACATACATACATACATACATACATATGTTTTTTTTTTCTCCAACTGTTCTGGAAGTTGCTCTGTAGTCTGCACTGGCCTAGAACTTGGATATCTACCTACATTTGCCTCTGGAGTTCTGGGACTAAAACTGTGCGTCACCACCACCAGGGTGACTTTTTTGACTGTTATATAAAGAAAATGTTAGTTATAATTGCTTAAGGTCCTCTCCCAACACATATGTGCTCTTAATGTCAGAGCTGTCTCTCTAGAATGGAGGAAGTTTTTTTGATGGAAGGTTTCCGTATTATTTACTTTTAGACAAGATCAATCTTACAGGCTGGAGAGATGGCTCAGTGGTTAAGAGCACTGACTACACTTCCAGAGGTCCTGAGTTCAAATCCCAGCAACCACATGGTGGCTCACAATCATCTGTAATGGGATCTGATGCCCTCTTCTGGTGTGTCTGTAGATAGCTACAATGTACTTATATACATAAAATAAATAGATCTTTTTTAAAATATTAAATTGTATTATTTTATGTATATTAGTATATTACCTACATGTACATCTGTGTATTTCTTGTACCTTGTGCCCATGGAGACCAGAGAGGGTGTTAGATCTCCTGGAAATGGAGTTACAGACAGGTGTGAACCACCATGTGATTGCTGGGAATTGAACCAGGCTCTCTGGAGAAGTAGCCAGTGCTCTTAAGCACTGAGCCATCTCTCCAGCCCTCCTCCACTATTTTAAGCAAGGAAAACTTTTTACATTTATTTGGGTGTGTGGTGTGGTGTGTGTGTGTGTGTGTGTGTGTGTGTGTGTGTGTGTAATTCAGGCTTGGCAGCTGGCACCTTTTCCCAGTGACCAATCTAAATGGCCTACTTTATTTATTTATTTTTCCACTCTAACATTTAAGAATCTAAATTCAAGGATGACTTTGAACTCCTGATCCTCTGGCCTCTTGACTTAAATATTAGGATTACAGATGTGCTCCATAATGTCAGGTCTGTGGGCTATTTACTTGAGACAGGGTCTTACTGTGGATGGTTTTCTGTTACTATGATTTAAAAAAAAAAAAGAAAAGCAATTTAGGGCTGGAGAGATGGTTCAGCAGTTAAGAACACTAGCTGCTCTTCCAAAGGACCTAGGTTCAAATCCCAGCACCCACATGGCAGTTCACAACTGCCTGTAATTCCAGTTCCAGGGCCTCTGACCCCCTCATACAGATATACATAGAGGCAAAACACCAATATAAATAAAATTTTTAAAAGTTTTTTTTTTTTAAGGCAACTTATAGAAGAAAGAGTTCATTTGGGTTTATGGTTCCAGGGGGATACGAGTCGGTGATGCCGGGGAAGGACAGCAGAGGAATGGGTACACTATACTGGCAGGAAGTGGATGTTGAAAGCCCCAATCTTTAACTACAAGCTCACAAAACAGAGAGAGTAAACTACAAATGACAAGAGCAGTCTGTAAACTCTCCCAGTATCATTACTTCCAGCTGCAAAACCTCCACAACTTAAACCTCCACAAACAGCATCCACAGTAGAGGACCAAGGATTCAGATGGCCAAGACTATTTAGGCATTTCTCATTCACAGACCACTTTCCAGTCTCTGGCCCCATAGGTTCCCGGCCTTCTCATAATGCAAACTGCATTTACTCCAACTTCACAAGTCCCCATATACTTTCAGAATTTCAACACTATTTAAAAAACCAAAGTCTCTTTCAGATTTAAGACTCAAGACCCCCTGTGAAATAAAAAAAAAAAAAGCTGGATGGGCTGAGCAATGGTGGCACACAGCTGCACACACGGGAGGCTGAGGCCTGTCAGGTTTAAAGATCCAGTTTCAGTGAGAAGTCCCCCAAGAGGTAAAGATCTTGGAAATAAAAAAGTTTTGATGCTGGGCGTTGGTGGCGCACGCCTTTAATCCCAGCACTTGGGAGGCAGAGGCAGGCAGATTTCTGAGTTCAAGAGTTCGAGGCTAGCCTGGTCTACAGAGTGAGTTCCAGGACAGCCAGGGCTACACAGAGAAACCCTGTCTTGAAAAAAAACAACAACAAAAAAAAGTTTTGGTTTCCCAGGGAACTAGAATGGGCTCCTCTGAGGGAGCTGCAGACAATGGGCAGTTAATCCTTGATAGCTCTGACAAAGGGAGGACAACTGTTGGACAAGTGCAGGTTGAGTCTGTTCCTAGAATTTCCTCAGGGCCTTACCAAATATAATAAGACCAACATAACAACCAATCAGAAACTGACCTATGTAACGTCACAGACACATACCAATGAACTTTTAGATTACCTAACCCTAGCTAAAATTCCCCTAGTTCCCTATAAAAAGGCCTGAGAGCCTTTGTCTGGGGATCACAATTTGGATGAATGGTTGACCCCTGCCTTTGCATACTATTTGCATGTGGAGTCTTCCTTCAGCAATTCTTGGACCCCAACACCAGGACAGCCAGGGCTACAGAGTGAAACCTGTCTTGAAAAACAAATCAAAACAAACCACACATGGCAAGCTTCCAGTATGGAATGACACTAGATACACATTTTTTTGTTTGTTTGTTATTTTGTTTGTCTGGTTTGTTTTTCGTTTTTTTGAGACAGGGTTTCTCTGTGTAGCCTTGAACCAAAGCAAGACTAAAAACCAGCAGGGGAAACTTGGAATCTTATAGCTGTCTGGAGCTTCCCCCCCCCCCAAAAAAAAGCTGTCATTTATTTATTTCTATTTATGTGTAAGATTATTATTATTATTATTATTATTATTATTTTTGGTTTTTCGAGACAGAGTTTCCTCTGTATAGCCCTGGCTGTCCTGGAACTCACTCTGTAGACCAGGCTGCCCTCGAACTCAGAAATCCGCCTGCCTCTGCCTCCCAAGTGCTGGGATTAAAGGCATGCGCCACCACCGCCGGCGTGTAAGAATATTTTGCTCAAATGTTTGTATGCATGTCATGTGCATGCCTGGTGCCAATGGGGTCAGAA